GTTTAGTGTAGCATTTTCCATATTCAATCTATTTGATGGGTGAGCTTTGGTCTCATTTATGGAGTATCTTGTAACAGAAGTTTTAAATTTTCATGTATTCACCTCGTTTTTTTCTTCTCTTATTTTGGTCTTTGAATTTCTCACATTGCTTTCTATTCTTCCTATGGTTCTTATATTTTTCTCTATATGAGAAAAAATGTAAAGCTTACAAAATGAAAAATACCTCTAGGAGCTTTAACCTATTTTACTTTTTAAAAAATACTCTATTTCTTTATTTTATTGAGTTGGATGTAGACATTGGTGTGTTCTACCCTTCCTTAACACGGGGTTACATCAAGAACTAGTAAGCTGTGTGGGCTGGACCACTGCCGAAGAACTTTATTCCTGTAGTGATGATCACCAGATCGTGAAGTGGAACTTGCTGACCAGTGAAACAAGTCAGATAGTAAAGCTTTCTGATGACATTTACCCAATAGATCTTCACTGGTTTCCAAAAAACTTAGGCGTTAAGAAGCAGACTCAAGCAGAAAGCTTTGTCCTCACAAGTTCTGATGGTAAGTTTTAAATAAATGTTTTGTGCTCATCTTTGTGTCTGAAGTACATGCTAGGATGACTTTGCTTTGAGTTGTTCTATGAAGCTGTTATTTGTGGATGTGCCTACATGTTGTCATGAAGAAAGCAAATTGAACTAATACATACTGGACTGGAATGTGGATTTTTGACTTCACTTTGTACTCTCCAGAGCTAAGCTCTCAGCAGTTTTGATTGCTACTCTTTTCAGGTTTCATTATAACACACTAAGAAAGGGACACAGCTTACACTTGTTTGGTAAACTATTGATTAAATCTAACTTGTAGTAACTAGTAGATGTTAATTTTCACTGAAAGAGTTGGAGATGCATATAATTTGATCATAGCTATATTACTGGTAAATAAAAAGCTACTTTTAAGGGAATATTTTAATTTTTGTGCTCTTAGAAGTACTTGAACTTTTTCATTTGTTGGTATACTGTGTGAGTTCGGGGCTACCTTCATTGAAAAATAACAGAAATCGTATATGCTGCTTTAGTACAAATGGAATTTTAGATTCTTCTAGCCTGGGAGTAGATCTTTACACTGCCAAGGCCAGGGCTGTTGTTATCCCTAGGCTTATTTGTTCCACTTGGTGAGCGGGCTGGCTTGTTCTACTAGACAGCTGAAAGCGTGCTTCACTCAGTGTTCTGGCCGGCAAGTTGCGGAGAGGGCCCTGGGCGTGTTGGGTTTTGTGTTCCTCACTGAGCATATCGCTTCAGTCAAGCGGTTGAGTCTCTCTGGATTGGGTCTCAGATCATCTCCTTTGAAACAGCAGGGAAAGACTTTTGTAAGCAGAAGAGGGAAGGAGTGGATGCCAGACAATCACATCAGCTTTCACTACATTTACAGAGAGAAGCATGGCAGGTTGCTTTATAGCCTTTTTTTTACAATTAAATGAGATGCATATGTGCTCATACTTCGTGCTAGCGCCATAGAAGATTGCATCCAAAGTGGAATTTGGCTGTGTTTGTTTCACAGTTGGAATTTAATTTACCTCAGATAATAAAGGAGAGAGAGGATTAACTTATTTTTATTAAAAAAACCCACAAAAACATTTTAAATTGTAAACTAGGTGGGGGTTTACATTCAGATCATCAACTTTGCATTCAACAGTCCAAACCACTAATCAAAGCCTCCATTATTCCACCTTGACTGTTTTTTAAAACTGTTTATTTTAATATAATTCACATTTACAGAAAAATTGCAAGAATAGTACAGTAAACCCCTACCAACTATACCCACTGCCACTAAATTTATTCCAACTCATAGTGACCCTCGAGGACAGAGTAAAACTGCCACTTTTGAGTTTCTGAGGCTGTAAATTTTTACGAGAGGAGACAGCCTCCTCCTGCCATGAGAAGTGGGTGGATTTGAACTGCTGACCTTGAAGTTAACAGTCCAAGGCATAACCTACTACTTTACCAGGACTCTTCAATGAACTTCTATATGTCCTTATCCATATTTAAAATTTAACATTTTGTCCCATATACTGTATCATTGGCTCTTCTCTCGCTCCCTACACTCTTATTAAACACACACACACACACACACACACACACACACACACACGTGCGCACATTTTCTGAAACATTTGAGTGTAATTTGCAGACATGCCCTTTAACCATAAATATGTAAATGAATTTCATAAAAATATGGGTTTTCTGTTACATAATCACAATATATATTTATGAAAGTTGGGAAATTTAACATTGATATACTTCTACCATCTAATCTGGAGTTCACTTTTAAATTTTTTTAGTTTTAAAGTTTTTTAAAGTTTTTTAAAGTTTTTTCCTCCTAATGTCATCCATAAAAATTGGCTTTTTTTTTCATGGATTACACATTTAAAAAAAATTCTAAATCATCTTATTGGGGGTTCCTACAGATCTTTTAACATTTCATACATCAATTGTATCAAGCATATTTGTACATATGTTGCCATCATCATTTTTAAACATTTACTTTCTATTTGAGCCCTTGGGATAGATTGCACATATTTGTCATGTCTCTAATAACCATGTTTAATCTGTAGCAACTCTACAGCCTTTCTTTTTTCACTTACGATCTAACAGTTTGGGAGAAAACAGGCCTGTTATTTTGTAGACTGTCCCACAGTTTGAGTTCATCAGCTGTT